TAACAAAACAGCCCAAGACATGATTTCGATTATGAAGTATACTCATAACAACTACCCAAGTCTGCAAACATGTCTCGCACGCTAGGTTCAACCGAATTTCGGGGGCTCGTTAGAGACACTGAGGCTGAACCCTAATGCATGTTGTAAATTTGCTAAACCAATGGAAACCAGACATAAGTAGCATAATTATTCATTTCCATCATTCAACCTCTACACCCACGCGGTGACCCTCGCCTGCTTGAAGTTGGAATTTGATTTATACGTCGCATTAAGAACTATGTTTCGCGTACCCAGCAACCCGCGAACCCTCTCATTGTCTTCGTCGGTTCCTTCCATTTCGAATCCACGGCATCCATGAGATACTGTGAGCAGTGTTCAGTGTGCCCAGGGCTAGTGACAATGGTGTCAATTGCAGCCCGCTCGTCGTAAAGGGCGTAAAATTGGCGCCGCCACATGATAGCGCAGTGGTTGATATGATCCCGAATTGACGTCCAGTAAAAGTCTCTTTCTGACATCTCATCGATGGTCAACTGCTGCGTCATATTCTTATCCGCGAACGCACCCCAGCTAGCATCTTCTTGATATTCGTCGACCGAGTCCTTGTCAAAGCACTGAGCTGGGACCCAGTGATTCAACAGGACATCGTATTTACAGCCTTTGGCCCTTGCCTCTTTTGTCGTGTTGCCGCAAGAGATTCTTTTTCTGCCAGTGGTTATGTTGTGTCGCTGGCCAAAGTTATACGAAGCTGATGGTTGGGAAAGTGCAGCGTCATGGGACGCGGTCGTCGCAGCTGGTGTCGGAAAGAACAGGAAGAAAATCAGTACCCATACTAGCGAGGTGCCTATGAGTACAAGTATGTGAGAGAAAAGCGCGTTCCGACGGGTTGATGGCCGACTTGGTGATGTAGGCTCTTCCGTCGTCGGGTCGTCCGAGTATTTGAGAAAAGGCTGATATTCGGGGGTTGAAGACATTCTGTGTGTGATATTGCATGCAGATAGCTTGGTGGTCGGATGGAGCTTCAACATTTACCGCCGGCTTACCTGCAAGGAAAACTCTCTATCTTTATTCAGCTGGTTGAACTATCCGTGCGCTAGTTGCCTGCTGGTTTGTTCTGGGGAGGGCTGTGCGCAAACTCGCCTGTGACAAGTGTTGTTTTGGATTATCACCCATTGCACTAGTACTGATAGTTGACGCGCTTGGAGGGCTGTTTCATCCGAACATTCACAATGTTGGTCTGACCTGATGTTTCAGCAAAGCTGGAAGTTCATTGGGTGCTTCAATGTCTTGCGTCTCTGCGCCCCGCGCGATTGGATTATCGCTCCAGACTCGAAGCATGTCCCAACAAATGGACAGTTACTTAAGCGCACTGCAAGATTAAGCTCATGGATGAACTTTCTTTGCGTGTTACGATCGACGCGGAAGAAAGGATATTTCGACCTATCCTAGAGAAGATCTCACAGCCAGGAAGATTGTTTTGACTACTCCGTACCTTATTAAAGACCCCAATTGTGCTTCCCCTACATACACCGCGCTCGCAGTGGCAAACATTATAACAATCTCTGTGAGTCACTTTCTTTCTTAATACCTTCGATAATCGTTTACTGTTCTCATTCCAAGCTAGGCAAGTGCTTTTATAAAACCCCCTAGCGTCACGCGTTGTCCCAGCAACGACGAGTGCCTCAGAACACGATCAGTTGTTTTATGTGTACACTGTAGTGATCAAGAGGTGTGATACTAGAACGGTATGAAATGTTATCTTGAGGATTAAGCATGATGCTGTTATGCTAGTACTTACGGTGCTAATGTACCTTACTCTATCAAACGTTGTATCTCAAAATTGTCATTCAATTGGACCGTTCAAAGTCTGTGCAGATGAGATGTGATCAATTAGAGAGTTCTATAGTAGCGAGGGTTCCAGTAGATGACAAAAGACTTTTAGTTGGACCACAGTAAGGTATTCATAGCACGCTTGGATACACCAAAGTCAAGTTGAAAAGAAGTTAGAATCTGAGTGGTTTTTCACTTACTCCCCTTAATATCCTACCGCTTGAAGGATGCTAGACTTCAATTGTTCTTGAAAACTTCCTAATTAAGACTTACAACATCATCACCGCTAGTAATTGGCCTTATTACCTGTTTGCATTACAAGTATACTGCCTCTTATCTGATGAAAGTTCCTTAGAGCAGTGCGTCCATCTAGCTCTCCACTTCTTTGAGTACCTAGATCGCTTGATTCTACGTTGTAATTTCTTGTTCTTCACGATAGACCAGCTTATTTGTATCTAATTGGGACGGAAGTGATAAGATATATCGATCTTGGGCTTTTAGCAAAATAATACGGTTCACTCTCAGCCTTGCACCACAAACCCTTCCAAGCTGCCATCCGCCCACTTGTCCACAAGTTGTTCGAAAGCCACAGCCCCCATACTAAAGCCTACAGATGGCTCCTTTGTCTTCTGCTCTTTCTTGGGATCCTTGTAATCTGTAAAGTATGTCGGGGTGCAGGATGCCACAGGGGCATACCACGGAGCGTAAGGCTTCAAGCTCTCCGTGTAACTTTGCTCCGCCTCCTTGCTTACCTCAACTTCAACCCTGTTGATATCAGAAGCATGATCGCAGGCAGTCTTGGCAATGTGAGCGACTAATCTGCCTCCGACTGTGTAGGGGTAGGTTGTGTTTGCTGAGGAAGTGGCACCCTTGGCGGTAAAGAAGAGTAGGTTGGGAAAGTCGTGAGTAGCCACGCCCATAAAGGTGGCGAAATCGTCGCTTTGCCATTTCTCCGTCAGATCGCGGCCGTTGCGGCCCCGGATTGGCATGTTAAGGACTTGTGCTGGGTCTCCATTGACGGCAGTCGTCGTTGCAAAACCTGTCGCAAGTACGAGAACGTCGACCTCATACTCCTTGGCCAGGTCGCCCTTTCCGACCAAGATACCTTTGTCAGTATAGCCTGAGATACCCTGACCATCGGTATCAACGAGCGTGACGTTGGGGCGGTTAAAAGACTTGAGGTAATCTTGGTGGAATGTCGGACGCTTGCACCAGCCAGGGTACCAGGCCTTCAGCTTTTCAGCTAGTTCCGGGTTGTCCACCTCGCGCTCGACGTGCTTGCGGAGCTCAGTTGAGATTCCCGCGTCGAGTTCCAACATCCGCTGGAGATGCTGAGGAACGCTTTCGGGGGTGATATCTTTCGCCCGGGGGCTTCCAATGAGTCCAGAGAACGTGCGTGCATTACTCCATCCGTCTTTAAGGAGGTCATCGGCAGGAGTTACCTCTGGGTGGTCGTTGAGAAACTTGTTCAAGTTTCTCATGCGATCAGCCTGCCAGCCTGGCCGGCCAGCTACAATGTCCCAGCTCTCCGGGGTTGTCTCGACTTGCTTTCTTGGTCCGCAGTATGAGGGCGTGCGCTGAAACACATAGAGTTGCTTCGACCATTTGGCCAGCTCGGGAACAGCCTGAACAGCCGTTGCGCCGGTGCCAATGATACCCACTCTCTTGTTTCTGAGGTTGACCAAGTCAGGTTGAATCTGAGAACCGCCGGTATATTCGTAGTTCCAACGAGCCGTGTGGAAAATTTCCCGGGTTTTTAGGAATACGCCGAGACCAGGAGCATCAGGTGCGCTGGGCGAGTAGAAGAGGCCGCCAGCGGGCATGAGAAACTGTGCCTGGACGACAAAATCGCCATTGAGATGCTGATATTTTTGGCTCAGGTTACGGCTCAATGTGACAGCCCATCGCTTCTGGACGTCGTCCCATTTGGCGCCCTTTGCCTTGGTGCAGAACATACCCTTGATTCCATACTTTTCCGCAATCAGCTCAACGTTCTGACGGATCTCTTGACCCTTGGAATAGCGATGCTTCGGAATGAATCCTGTCTCCTCAAGGAGTGGCAAGTAGCAGTAGCCCTCAACATCGCAGGTCAGGCCAGGATAACGATTCCAGTACCAGGTGCCGCCAAAGCCGCCAGCCTCGTCTACAATGACAATGTCGGCCGGACTGACTCCAGCCGCGACCAACTGGTAGGCAAAAAGTATGCCGTTATGGCCGGCACCGAGGACGAGGAAACGAACCTCGGAGCCATTATTTAGAGGCGGAGTTTCCTTGGCAAGGGCGTCGTAGTCGACCCAAGGGTCATGACTAAAATCGTTCATCAAAGAACTCGTTCTGAAGTTGAGGCGGTCTCCATGTTTGTCAGAGATAGCGATGAATCGCTTGTCTCGCTCAGTTTTGTACTTGGCAGCGATTGAGTCGATAGCAGTCATCGTGAAGAGGGCGAAGGCGATGTAAATAACACTAGATTACTGTTGAAAGGATGCCAAGTTTTCTTTGTTTTGATAGTATGATGATTTGGATGCAGACCAAATCTCCCGTCATGCCATCACTTCGTGCTTCTCTTATAATGATCTATGCGGACTTTAGTGGCCTCTCCCACGGAAGCTCGGAGCTGATGCCATTGCGGGTGAAACGTTGATGAGCTCCATTAAATCCATTCGCAGCGGTGCCTTCGCCCTATCACAAGTCATTAGTATCTACGTAAACGCAAGAAGATTTGGCTTTTCGCGCAGCCGAACAAGCATAAAGCTCTTTGAAAAGCCGCGAGTCTGTGCATCAAGCTGCTGCAGTCGGATTTTCGCTTCAAGCAGGACCAATCATGCGTGACGAAACGCCGAGATTAAACCCACCGGCCGACGACTGCGGACGACGGAGGGATGTGTTCCACTTTTGATGTCCCGGAACCCCTGTGCTGTGGATAGTAACTCGACCTGTATATTGAGTATGTTGAGTACGTTGGGCCTGGTTTCATGATGTGTTCTGTCTGGCCGACGCGGGCGGCAGACAGTGGCAGCGGTTTTGTTAAGGCGAACTGAGGCAGCATTTCCGGACTAGCACAGCCTATCTGCGTAAAAGATTCCAACACCCCGCCTCGAACGAACACTTCAATAAACACGCTTACGACGATTGGTCTTGTTACGATTTAAGGGGTCATACGTAACAATGGACGTATGGAGTGGGATGAAGTTGCTTTTATTGGCATGACAGAGAGTCAGCAAAAACGATGGGCTTGGGGAGCCACCTTTAGAATCACGAGGTTGCACACGTGACGATCCCTACAAGATTGCCGATGCTCTTCCAGGTCCGTAGTAGATTTTTTCGGCTAGCCAGGCTCGTCACCCTGAAGCCAAACGGTTCGAGGTACCGCCAGGCGCAGCGTAAAAATGCCCAACTTCCGTCGAAAGTCTTGCCACCAATGCCGGTCGTCTAAGTTAGCCTGTGACCGAAGACAGCCCCGTTGCTCCCGGTGTGAGCAGCGGAATTGGCTATGCTGCTACTCTCTTTTGTCGAAGCCAACTCCCTACCTAGAAAATCGATATCGGCAGCTTCGGAGTCCGCAGTTATGTACTACGGGACCTAGTTCTGAAGTATCGCCGCTAGATATTTCAAGCATTGAGACGGCGATTACGACCAGCACAAGGGAGCTCAATGATCGTCGATCAGCTAGCGGATTCGATCCAACCGATACTATTGATGATATTGGAGATTTTGGATGGGCTGCTGTCTCCGCAAACACTACCGATGATGCGTTTTGGCCCGATGACGTTCTGGGCAACTGCGCAAAGCTGCCGCCCACGGCTCCAATCGCCGATATGAGTCCTGACATTGTTACCAACATAATTGCCGACATCAACACACAAATCTCAATTAGGGCAAATTTTGAGCTCAGTATGCTAGTCGACATCGACCACTTGCTTCGGCCGCGTAAACACAAAACTGCAGAAGCCTTGCTTACTTCAAAAATGATGCTGGGAAGTATGCGGAAGTATCCTGCAATGCTGATCTCCGATCTCAACCTTCCTCCTTTCATCAGCTCGCCGTGCTTCGGCGATGAGATACTGTGCCGGCAGTCTGGAATACATCAATGTCTACCGCAACCGCTAGCTGTATGTGCTAGTATAGTGCGAATGTTTCCCAGCGACAGCCTGAGAGATAGATCTTTTGCATGGAAGACCATCTACATGGAACAGCAAAGACTTTTTCACGAGGTGGGTTACATCTCTGCCATGAAAGGGGCCTTAGGAGACCAGGATTGGTTACCAGACACTAATCAAAATGAAACTAAAGCATGAGTCTTACGATAGAGAAACATTGATTGCCGCCGTACAAGCTGTCACGTTATACACCATACTCCACGTTGAAGATGTCGCATCTGTCCCGGAGCACTATCTCAGATCAATCACTATTACCTTGGGCGTATGTCTCTGTTGCGCTGCAGGATTCGTGCACGTTTATCGCTGACTTTACTTTTACGCTTTCTTGAATCTCTAGACTATGACTTATACAATGATGAAGTCTCGAGATGGAGTCAACTACATGCAGCATCATAGCATTCCCAATCGGCGCAAGTGGATCAGTAACGAAAGTGTAGGGAGGTCAGTCACATACGTATATTCAAATAAGTGTGCTATTTATTGACAACTCATTACCTGTAGGCTAATCTGCTTTTGCTACGCATTAAATGAGCTCCTCAGCATAGCAATTTGTCCTTCGTCCGGCCACGGTGGCGCAACGTGTAGAACTGTGCACCTTCCGAGCACACGCAGCCTGTGGCAAGCCAAGGCAAACATCGAATGGCAGCGACAGTATCTTGACCAAATATCGCAACGTAGCTTCAAAGATACTCTAAAAGTCTCGCATCTTCGGGAGTACGCCCAACCTGCAGGAGACGCCTTACTCAGGGAGGCTTGGGTAAATGATTTTGAAGGTTGGTGTCTGGACCATGACGAGTTAGGACAGTTCATCTGGATGGCAACAAAATTGGATCCCGTGTAGTATTTTCACTCATTTCTCCCACCGTCTTTAGCGTGGTTTTACGGGCCACCACCCTACGGCAGCAACATGGTCGACTCGAAGAGTCACGAAGCAAGCTCGTAACTCATTTCATGGAGTTTGTCTACCGTATCATGAGTGATATTCGACTTGAAAATGTGGGAGAAGGCGCATTGTCTACTCACACACATTGGTCCCGGCTCAGGAGATTTCTGCGCACATGAGATGGGAAACAGTACGAACCAAGACAGAAGTTTAGGACGTGCCCGCTATACCTGCCAGGCATGTAAATTGTTGCGTCTACATGCGGTTACCGGGGCTTATCATGTCCAACCGGCCCCCGCGGGTTTAATACTGGCATACTAAACACGACAAGGCGGAACTTTGGTTTGAGCTTTCAACCGGGCGGTCAGTCCTGCTAATGATGCTTACTTTACACTTATTTGAAGTGCTCGATGATTTTATCTGCGTTGTTCCTAAAAAGGAACAACCGAATTAGCCATTGCCCACTTGTATGCCTTGGCTAAATTATAAAATATTAAGGGAGAGTATAAGGTCTTCGTTTTGTCCGCCAAGAAGAAGAAACTAAGGAGAGCGCTCATGACAACCTCGGCAATGTCCACGTCAGAGAGCGAGACAGAACATAAAAGGAACCCTAGAGAGAGATGCACGAATTATTAGAATGTTCTTTATAGAAAAGACGCTTCAAACTCTCCTTGCAACGTCACACTAAATAACGCTCCCGTTTCTATTAAGCCCGAGATGCTTAGCCGCAACACAGCTGGCGTCTCGAGGCCGCATATTATCTTGGATGGGTTATATTTAAGGCAACTTCAAGCTTAAAGATGTGTATTACTTCGGAGTAGATCCGTTACAGTACGCCCAGAACTGAGAGCTAGATGCGCTCTGAATTGACTGTAAGTTAACGTAGTAAGATAGAGAGCAGTTATTAGAAATTCCGCCTAATTCCAGAGGCGGTAGCGCCTTATTAGTTGGTCTTTATTAAAGCGCGGAGTCCTTGAAACAGGTATGAGCCCATCGCTACCAGCACGCTTCGTGGGCTCTATTTGGGAGGACGAGACAAGATTGAACAATAGATCTGTCGTGATAGATTTGCAGAGTTTAAGCTAAATACAGCATAAGGGTACAGAGGAAACATAGTAAGCCAGATTTCTTGGCCGTTGTATGGTCCGGCAGACCGCGGCCAGTTATCCGAAATAATGCAGACCGGTGAAGAGTCAAGGCCGCTACCAGATCCCAATAGATTCTGGGTATGCCAGATGCACCGACAGTCTCTATCAATTCTCAATGATACACCATGGTCTAAGCAGCCCTACAGTGCTTTCATCAAGCCAGGGCATTCCTAGATACCTCGCCTTAAGGCTGCCGCTTCCTACTTTCACAATCAGAACTGGATAAATTGACTTTGCTTGAACCCTCTATAGCCTTCCTATGCTGTTCCTATGGAGCCGAGATATTTCATTTGCCTGTAGGCTTTCTACGTTGCCACGCTAAAAGAGGTACCAGCTCTCGGATTTAAGGCCGAGTCTCAGGCCCGATCGTCCACACGGGGAGCTTTTTCCATGTTACCAGTCGGACAGTGAAATTGGAATTTGTTAGATGGTCAAATTGTCGTCTGTGACGACTTCCTGACACTATCCTAGCCCAGCGCTTCCAAAGGCTACGTGAGCAATGTGACACAGAAGTTCTTATAGAAGATATTGAACTACGTTTTAAATCTTTGTTGAAAAGGCTTGGAAAGAACTCTCTCCAGTTGTTGAATGACCAGATTACCTCTTCGTATACATGATTCAGCCAATGTCGCATGCCGAATAATTTACGGCTTGTTGGCCGTGGGGCAGCTCGTGTAGTACTCGCCGTCATTTGCGATAACCTCCATCTGGTGTAGGACAATGGGGCTGTCCAGACGCGTGCACTTGATCCAGACATGCCTAGAAAAGAGCACGGTTGCGGTATACTCCTTGATTGTGATGTCCTTGGTGATGGTCTTCTCGCTGTACTCTGTGAACGACGTCGACGTGTTGTAGGTGAATTGGTAGTTGAGGCTGACGGACCCGCTGGCGAGCCCAACGCCGTACGACGCCGAGACATCGACGCCGACGCTGTGGCTCATCTCCTGCGTCCTCTCGCTGCTGACGCCGTACACGACCTTGACGTTCTCTTTGAGCGGAGTGGGCGTGTCATTCGACCACACCCGCTCCGTGTACCAAGAGATAGATCGGCTGACGGTGAGAAACGGGTTCCTGATGTTGTCCAAGCTTGTTTGGTCCTCGGGGCTGAAGTAGAAGTGGAAGGGGAGAGTCACCTGGCACTGCAGCTGCTGATCTCCGTACGGCTGCTTCTGGTGCGGCAGGTTGTTTGCGGTGATGGTGGGCATGGGATTATCAAACTTTTCGAACTGCTTCCCAATGGGGAGCAGCAGGACCCGAGCGGCCTCACCGCCCGGTCTGTTGTAGTTCGACTGCGCCCGGAACGTGTCGGCCATGACGGGGATGTTGGCCGCGCCGTCGACGCCGATGGTGTCTGTCTGCACGGCCCAGAGGGATACGTCCGCGTCCGCCCCTGAGGCGCTGTCGTCCCAGGCCGAAGTCGCCAGGAATTTACCATAACCAACGAGGTCCTCGCGGACGCACCACATTTTATCCAGGCTTGGCTTGCCGTAATTGGTGTTACCGACGTCTCCTAGGGCTACGTACCCAGCAGGGGCAACGGGGCGCCAGACGGCACCATTGTTCGTAGCGCCTGAGCCGGTGTCGGACCAGATGCGAGTGTAATCGATAGGGCGGGCCACGGCAGACTTGGATGGGCTCGTGTTGGGATTCTGTCCTACGAGGAGCGTGGCTCGTTTGCCGCTTAGGGGGTTATAGTGAGCACGACCCTCGGCGTAGTCACCCAGCGGAAAGAGCTCGCCTTGAGGATTTGGTGTCCAGATAGAGACATCGCGTGTGGCACCGCTGCCACTGTCATGATATACCCATGAGTAACTGGACGTCATGGTGATCCTAAGGTCACCGTAGTCAAAAGTCTTGTTTGCCATTGTGGTGAGATCGTAGTGGCAACTGAGATATTGTCGAGATGTTGTTGTAATATACTTTGTGGGTGTGTAATCAATTCTGTTTGATTTTCAGTCAAGACAAACAGGAAAAACAAGGCAGTACTTATAGTCAAGACTCGAACAGTGATCAACCACAATGCTGACCACAATGTGCTCCTCTACCAAGTCCTGCTCTACATCATGAGCCGGCATGGATGTCTCATTGAGCCGTAACTGTAAACAACTACATGCCAATACCAATATCATGGCTAACCATCAGACTGATCTACAAAGATGACGTATCAATTTCAGTACTTTTGAGACATCGACGCCTTGGTCTTTGGGCTTTGGCACATCACAATAGACCGGTCTACTGAATTCAGACTTGATAGAAGAGACGCTGGAGTGCAATGATGACATTTGTGTCCAAGTTCGGAGACTCATGCATAGCATGTAGACCGGTCTGCCACAGTAGGTAGTTCCGAAGTGCATCAAGTCTTCGGGGAGAGGGAAACAATCATGCCACTATTTCAGCATGTGATCAAGCACCTATTTGACCAGACCTCGCACCTGGAACGCAATGTCGAGATTACCTATTCTCATCAGTACGGTTTCCAAATACCAGCGAAGTTGCAGTCACAAAATTGTCGATTTAATTTGTCTCGCTCAATGGTCACACAGCTGTGCCTTTAGTCAATGTGGAGTCTAAGGTAGCTCTGCCTGTTGTTTTGTAAACCGCCATATGCGCTCCATCTTATCCCTAGGTAGCTCAAGCATTTTACTAAGAAGAGAGAGGATAACCCGCTTGGATTCCCTTGGTCATGTCTCCTATGCGCCATATTCAGTTGAACTAAGTAGCACGACGCTGCACTCTGTGTCGTCATTCCCGGTTGAGGGTGGATTTTCAATGAAGACACGCCACCTTCCTCATATCAATTGTGGAAGCATACTGGTAGGTTAAGAGGGACAAACAATGCGCAAAACACCTCTGTTTCGCTCAGTTGTCCATCCGGGTAATTAGCCGTTGTTAGTTGACGCGGCTTAGGCTAGCGGTGGGCTATTCAAAAAGTCCCAAAGGCCTGACAGCATCATACAATTCTCCCCTCTCTTGGTTGCGATCACAATAGGTTCATTCTCCGCTAAACAAGATCGTGCATATGCATGTCGTCTTTCTATCTAACCGTCGTAGCACTCGGTGTGGCGACTGCATATGTATGTGGTTTGAATAGTTCATGCTAGCTGAGACAGTCTCCACAGCGCTGAGGACTTTATCCCGTGCCAAGCAGGTTGATTCAATCTATTAGGTGTGGAAATCAGCTGGATATCCTAATTAGAATTGTGTTGCATTGACGACTTTGCGAATTTTACGGGTGCGAGTAGAAGGCCGTGCCCTATACCATCTTTGTCCATCGTGTTTGCGACTGTAGCCGATAGTTGAGGTCCCACACTTGAGATTGTTTGGTTCTCCTCTTCTCCTAGTCTTTTCATTCTCTTCTTTGCTCTATAATTTGAAGAACGTGATAGGATCAAAAGCCTGAAAATTGGAGGTTATGGTCACTCACGTCGCAATATTTCTTGGCTCAAGGATTCTGACAAGCGTTTATTTCTCAATTCACTAAGCGATCAAGCGATCCTGGTCATCATTAAGAAAGGAACCGACTTGAAATCAAATTTTGCCGTCCACCAACGCTTGCCTATATTACAGAGTTGCCTGATGTCTTGTGTAGGACCGTACTCTTCTCAGCTTGCTCGTAGTCAAGCATTTGCCTTTAACCCTCTCCTTCTATTGCCGGTGATGGCACCTAGGATGTTTCGCACGTGCACCTGGGCACAGGAGTGATGCTCGGAACCGTCGATGTCATGAGAGTTGTTGCGCCGGGAAGTTCACAGAGCCACCGGGGGGAACCTCCAAGGAACTTTCGGCAGGGACACTACCTATGGTAGTACTGGTGTTGCCTATCAAGGTGGTTGGACTTGCGGCCGTCTCCGAAGGGATTAGAGAAATATTAGTCGTGATAGATGTCGGCCGGATGGTTTCAGGATCTGAGCCTAGCCATGGTGAAGGAACTCTAATGCCATCGGTTTCGGTGCTAGTATAGGAATAAGGGGGCGTTAGTTGAATTTCCGTGGATGAAGTGGGAGATACGGGCCTTTTATGCAGGCGTTTTCCCACTGCCTGCCGAGGCATGGGAGTTTCTGGAGAATGATTCCAGCATCATGGGTTGTCTTCAGGCGAGAGTCCAAAGACGAGCTGTATTCGAAATAATGGCAAAGACTTCGGAAGCGTCCCAGGAGAAAACATGATGACCGTGAATGTTTTTAGTCCACCTGATTTAGCATTTTGTTCTGCTTTATAGTTTGGCATTAGAGACACGCAGCCGGCCGCAGCTTCCAGGGATCATTGGATGGAAGTTCATACGGGTACCCAGCTCACCGTCCTTGCCAAGAATGCTTGTATCTGACATGAATATTTTCTTGAAAAGAAATAGGCCTCGTCCGCGCTACACCACCAATTTTGCCACAGCCTATCAGGTGAATACAGCATGACACGCTCGGAAACACGAAATGAAGAATTACGCTGCGCTTGATCTGAGTGGAGGGCATGAAACATTTCAAGTCCTGTGAGATTTGAAGGTCAGATGCGTCCTCAGATTTATGAGATCTAGTTGATCATTCGATATATTTCTGTTTACTAGTAACTTCGTCAGGCTTCCACAGCACTATTACATCAAACCCGGTAGACATTGGGAGCTCTAGAAAGACGCAGATGTCACTGAAAAAAGAACACGTTTTCGTATCAAGTGAAAGCGAAAGCGACGTCTTACTTGTGTTGAAGTAAGCTGTGAATAGGTGCGTCCTCGGCTTTTGTGTAGGTGTATTGCTCGTTCTTGGTGTCAGATGCTGAAGCTGGAATGCGAGTTTAGTTTTCGTATTGAATACGAAGAAGGACGGGAAGACAGTGCCAAGGCACACCTGGATATGTACCTACGTTGAGAGGACGGATAACGGAACTCTCGGCCGGGAGCTCTTGCTAAACAATGATCCATTTCGATGATTTTATACGTTTCAGGCCGTGCGCGAGGCAGTAATCCTGACGCCAGATGTCAAGTAAAGACACATAGCTGGATCGAGGAAGATGGAAGTTTGGACAGTTCGCCAAGAGCGCATCTTATGGCGAGATGATTGTATCTGGTTCTCTCCGAGGCGTTGCAAGGCTCCATTGCTGGTGCAAATTTGCAAATAAGAAGAGCAGTGTTCCAGCAGTCAATTTCAAGAGACGAGAGATAATGTTTCCGATGATGCTAGGTCCTTTCTCAACTTTTCTGCCAAGATCAATCACTTTAGCTTTGGAAGCGTTGTCCATACTAGTGACGGGCTTTACAACGTAGCATGCAAGGCTTGAGATTTCGCCTGCGGATATATCAATGGCTCTGTATCTGGCACCTTGTTACTGAAGTCTGATCAGCTGGATTCTGCAATAAGCATGGAAGTAAAACTTAACGCTTTGTTTCAGGAGCTCGTGAAGGAACAAAAACCTCAATCCATGAGAACGGAAAGCCTCTGAGGATTAAATACTTCATCTCATGTTATTGAAATTGAAACTAAGTCGCAAAGAAAAAAAATGAAGAGAAAAAAAAAGACGACCGATGATTCCGCTTTGGCGACTCCAATTAAGCGGCTATCATTTCCGCCATAGCACCGGATTAACACCTTAAAGTATAAAGTTTCAACTTCGGTATGGAATTCTAGATGTCTTTCTGATTCTGTGCGATCCACCCCGTTCGCGCCACCAGCCGTTTGTGACTCCTCAGACATGCATGATTCTACTATATGTATATCTTCCCCAAATACTTGTGATTCTGCGCGTTAGTCGTTCGGGCATCTTGCACCAAACATCCTTAGACAAGTAGCGGACAAAGCTGACCAATATGATCATGCTTTTTCTTTTCTACCGAAACCGGATTCAATGATTCTCTACGAGGCTGACATAGTTTCTCGGATCAGAAGTTGATTGTTAAGCAGAGAAATTTACCGAACCACATCGCCTATCCGTAGGGCGTTGGATGACAGGAGATGGCGTAGCTAGTGGAGTCGGAAACATCTAGCTTCGTCTGATGAGATTGAAGTATAAAACAAACGTCAAGGCGCAATAAAACATAGGATTAAAAACGGCGCTGTTCAAACCGATTCATCAATTCTGGTGAAGCCTTAGATCTTGCACTATCTTCAGAATTGTTCGAAATGGCAGCTCCCAATCCCGACGGTCCTGCTCGACTCATAACGCACTTCACGACCCGGTCAGTAGGAACTCGAGCGAGAACCCGATCCGATCTGGTAATCGCAGCTTACTGACATCTTATGGGGGATACCAGAGACCGCGGCAAACAGATAGCAGGTTGGTCTGAGCTGTGGGATTCCGATGAGAGTGATCTTTGGGACAGAGGCAAGCCATCGCCGGCTCTTATCGACCTCATCGAATCCAGGGCTGAGGGAATTCCTCGTGCGACTGGCGGACGGCGTCCGAAAGTGCTGGTGCCCGTGAGTGAATTCCACCTGCTCACTGATTCTCGAAACTCATTGACATGAACAGGGCTGCGGAAAGGGCTACGACGTCGTGATGCTCGCGCTGCACGGCTTTGACGTGTACGGCCTGGAAGTCTCGGAAAAAGGTGCAGAAACTGCGCGCAAATATGCCGAGACAGAGCTTCCAGAACCGACGGAGTACAATTTTGGCACTCCTGACAGTGTCCCCAGCACATGGCCTGGTGATATCAAGATTATATCCGGCGACTTCTTTAAGCGGGACTGGGAAGAACATTGCATGGCCAGCGACGAGGATGCTTTTCGGGGCTTCGACTTGATCTACGACTACACGGTACAGCAAAATCCTTTGATATATTGGCTCAGCTGCATCACTGACATCTGTCTCAGTTTCTCTGTGCCCTACTTCCCGAGATGCGAAAAGATTGGGCGAAACGCATGCACGAACTCTTGTCACCGACTGGCGTTCTCGTGTGCCTCGAGTTTCCGCTCTACAAGGACCTCAATCTCTTAGGACCGCCTTGGGGTCTGAACGGTGTTTACTGGAATTTACTTGCTGAGGGCGGTGATGGAATGATAAAGGAGCCGCTTCTTGAGAATTTGGATCGTAAGGCATCGGCAGGGTCATTCAAAAGGGTGTCATACTTCAAGCCGCCGCGATCTTACAAGAATGGCAAGGGGACGGATATGGTCAGCGTGTGGGCACGAAAGTAAATAGCAAGTTGAAGGTCTAATAACGAACATACACGAAGACCAATTGTTGTGTCGGACTATCAGCCCAGAGAACAGGGGCCGCAAGATTCCACGGAGTAGGTGAGAGAAGATGAACTTCCCAATCACCAACGACGGGCTGCAGCCAGACAGACACTATCGAAGCTTTTCTTGATAAGCCAGTTTTCAACATATGCACGGCCTCACTTATTCCCATTTACCATAGAGGTAGAGGACAATTGATGTAAGAATTATAAGTTATCTCACACAATGTCGTCGTCTGGGCATGAGCTGCTAGCATGTGACATGTACTTTGAACGGAAACGAGGCGGATCCTCGTGTTCACAAACCCCGCATTGTTCTTCGTGAATCTGCTTGCGTCTTGGGCAATTTGGCGCCGTACTTGCAAGGAAAGCCATTTCTTGATGACGTTTGAAGAAGGGCGATTCACGTGTAGTGAAACCTCTGACTCGGGAAATGGCACGTCGCAAGGCGTTGGATGGCATTTTCAGGGCGTTGGACGACACCTCTAGGTGGGGCACTGGAGCTTGGCCCCACAGGACCGCCGGTAACACGGACCGTCATCAATGTAGCATGGCATGCAAGTTGACAACCTAGTTCACTCCAGGATACCTCGTTGTTTTCACAGAATGATCACAGTGTATTTCAAAATTGACTGGCTATGATGACAGAGGGTTTCGTGCCATCCAAGCATCGTCCACAAACTTGGTGAGGTAGTTACGAATGCCGTCCGGCAAGATCAAGACAACTCTGACGTCACTACGATTCATCTCCGGCCTCTGCTGCATCAATTTGATGAGCGCAGCCACAGCTGCGCCAGAAGATCCGCCGCAAAGTAACCCCTCCTCTCTGATGAGTCTCCGGGCATACTCGAACGATTCCTCATCTCCCGTCTTGACCCAAACATCGGCAGCAAATTGGTCGAGCACGTCCGGCACAAAGTCGTACCCAATGCCCTCGACCTTATACTCCGCCTTTGCCGAATTCGAGTCGTCAGGCTGAGCCAGCACAGATCCGATTGGGTCGGCACCAACCATCAGAATATCTCCCTTCAGCTTCCGTAGGCCTCTCGAAAGTCCAGTGACTGTGCCACCAGTTCCTGCACCGGCTATAACAATGTCGAGCTTGCCATCGCATTGGGCCCATAACTCCTGGGCAGTGCCAATCTCATGGGCCAGAGGGTTGTTCGGGTTTCCGTACTGGTTGAGAATATGCGAGTTGGGTGTCTCGCTCTTGAGCTTCCGAGCAACGCTGATAATCGAATGGGGCGAATCGATCGGAACGCCTGCGGGGGTTCGAACAATTGTCGCGCCAAGTGCTTTCAGGATCAAGACCTTCTCCTCAGACATCTTCTCCGATATTGTAATAATACATTTGTATCCCTTGACTGCAGCAATGAGAGCAAGAGCGATACCACTTAGAACGCTATCAGTGTCAAGCAGGCCTCTCGAATGGGATGGAGACTCACGTATTGCCGCTGGTAGCTTCAATTAGAGTATCTCCCGGCTTGATTGTTCCCTGATCTTCCGCCTTTTCAATCATTGCCTTCGCAACCCTGTCTTTCACAGAGCCACCGGCATTCTGATACTCCAACTTGGCGAGAATCTCAGCACGAATGCCTTCAGTCTGGGGTAAGTGCTTCAGCCGAACAAGCGGCGTGTTCCCGATGTGGTGAATGACCGAGTCTGTGATAGGGGGAAGAGGTACGGCGGCCATGGTGATGGTTTGGTTCAAGAGCTCCGAGTTGACCGTTGTGAGTAGTGCGCAAATCTCAAGGAAGACGCATGAATGAGGACCTGCATAAACATGCAGCATCGAAGAAAAGAGGCCCCGATGACAGTCATTCGAGCCGATGAGCGCATTTGTAAGAAGTAGGCCTTGTCAGTAGACCCGAGCCAATGCGTACCCTACCCACTCAAATGGCAGCTCCCGCCGCCCTGTGTCAACGTACGCTTCTCAGTCTGTATACATAGGACAGTCTGCTTCTCAGCCCATGCTATTTCCTTTTGAAACGCTCTCTCGTATCTTAGCATTTCTGCATGTATTTTGTTTTGTTATCGATACTTATTTACCGTAACTTGACTCAAACGCCCAAACAACAATATGACCTCTGAATCTCCCACCAATGGAACTTTTGGCTTTGGTACCGAAGCTGTGCATGCCGGATCACCGCATGATCTGGCAACGGGCGCTCTTTCAGAACCGGCAAGACCCTTAGAAAACTTCCAAGCAAGTCGAATGCTAATAAGCTAGCTCGTCTACTAGATCTATCTATCCACGACCTTTGTCCAGCCGGACGTCGCCCAACCTACCAGCAAATATATCTACTCGCGATCCAACAATCCCAATCGAGAAAGCCTCGAACATGCTTTGGCTAAACTTGAACGTGCCAAGCATGCATTGGCATTTTCGTCGGGACTCGCAGCTACGGCGGCAATCGTCCAGGGCCTAGCATTCAACCGCCACGTCATTTGCAATGCCGACCTGTACGGAGGCACTTACCGCTTCTTAACGAGAGTCGCGAACACGAATTGTGTCACGGTAGACTTCATCCCGTCTCTCGAGAAAGATGTGACCCAATACCTCAAACACAACACCAAATTGATCTGGATCGAGACTCCCAGCAACCCGACTCTTTCTCTGATCGATATTCGGTCAGTCGCGGAGGTGGCTCATGCAAGAGGGATTGTGGTAGTTGTCGACAGCACCTTGCTGTCCCCGTATCTCCAGAACCCGCTGGACCATGGCGCAGATATCGTGCTGCATTCCGTGACTAAGTATATCAACGGGCACAGCGTAAGAATGCCTCCTTCATTGCAAAGACAGCATCGGCATGCCAGATATGTTGTGCATTGCTAACGTTCTGAAGGATGTGTTGATGGGTGCCATTGCGCTAAACTCGGATGATATCAAAGAAAAGCTCAGCTTCATTCTGACATCGGCCGGTAGTGTTCCAAGCCCCTTCGACTGCTGGCTAGCTCATCGTGGCATCAAGACCTTGCATCTCAGAGCCCGTGCTGCGTCAGACAACGCAGCAGCTCTCGCAGCTGTCCTCGAAGACTCCCCCCATGTGTTGTCGGTAAACTACCCAGGCCTCGTCTCGCACCCCCATTACCACATTACGGTCAAGCAACACAGGGGTGGAATGGGAGGTGCCATGATATCCTTCCGGATTCGAGGAGGCGGGGTTTCTGCAGCTCAGTTTTGCAAGCGAACCAAGTATTTCACTCTTGCGGAGAGCTTGGGTGGTGTCGAGAGCCTCTGCGAAATACCTGCGAAAATGACGCATGCTTCTATGCCGCGGGAGGCTAGAGAGGCTGTTGGGGTTTATGATGACTTGATTCGATTGAGTGTCGGTATTGAGGACGTGGAAGACCTCGTTGCAGACCTTCAAGTCGCTCTGGAGGAAGCTGTCCAGGCCGTTGAATCCAACTAAATACATTAGACCGTACAAATATTGACGTGATGTGATTTGAAACGCAACCCAACATCCCAACCTCATTTGGCAATGCACCAGCAACTCCTACTTGGTACCTATTGCCCAACTTACTTCTTATTTAACATTTTCATCTAGTCCCAAGGTAGGCTCCAAAGCTGGCATTCCGAAGAAAGGATCATTCAAGGTGCAGTTGTCCTCAAGTCTAGGCATGTTCGTTGAAGACATGCAGCTCATCTGCCTGAATTCAGCTAGACACTCTGGAGTCTGCCACAACCACGGAACATTCAATCCATTCACAGAGAACTCATCCAGCGAACCGTCATATAAATCCAATGGAACAGCGGCGGAAGTTGAAGTGGCTGCATGCTGCATATTTTCAAAAGTGAACGGCGCCATGATCGTCGAGTCCGTGGAATTGAGTGAGTCGATCGTGAAATCCATTAACTCGTTTCCGGCAGAGAATGTTGGGGCAAACGATCCCGGTTCTGTGTCCGAGGGTAGGCCGTAACCAGCCTTGAACAACTTCAGATAATCTAGATTGTCTGCTGGCGTCTGATGCCAAGGATCGTCCTCGGAGTCTTGTCCAGATTGTTAGATTTCGCTGCCTGGCTTATCTTCAAAATTCGCGAGAGGGAACAATTCTCACATAGGATGATTCGAGCTTCCCTTCGAATCGAGTCGTCTGTCACAGACTCTCCATTTCTCATCGCAGTCTTGACGTAGTCGCCAAGCTTAGCTGTCAAGGACTCGAACTGCGACGGCATGCTTGATCCGATGGCGTCCGCATCGGGTGATCGTGAGGCGCCGCGTGAAGCACTGAAAGGTTCGATGTTGTTGGCCTCGGCACCGATCAGATACGGCGGCATGGCATTTTGAACGAGTAACGCAACGGCTGGCTCGAGACCCCGACAACCTTTCCAGTCCTTCATTAGAGCACCTTCTCGGTAATGGTCGACAATGTGATCGTTGCGAGCAGACCACTCGGTGAAGGTTTCACCACAAAACCCACATCGCGACTTCAGCTTCGTAACCTTAGACTTCCAAGCATTCATGGATGGCAGTATCTCGTTGACTTGATGGGCTAAGCGAAGGTGTTGACGCAGATGGTCTTTGCGATAGAAGACGCGGGCGCTTTGCGGCTTCGCCGCACATTCTTGGTACCTGTGCGTCTGGATATGTTCGTTGGCGGGGTTGAATTCACCGCAGAAGGCACAGAGAGCTTCGTCGCCGTTGGGACCGCAGTACCTCGGCCCGTAGGGTGAACAGGTCCATTTCTCGAGAACGAGGTGAAGGGTGCCTTCGTGTCGTGTCCAGTCATATCTGGATCTGAAAGTGTCGGTGCAGAAAGTGCATTGATAGATGCGATCAGCATCGTCTTTGGCCACGTTCAGTGGATTGCGAAACTTGTGGTTCTTCCGGCGTCGGCGTCGACGAGTGTCCTGGGCTCGGATGTTTAGGAATGAATCAGAGCCATACGAGTGCGCAGACGAATTGCTGGAGTGACTCTGGTCCGAAGACCCTAGCGAGCTTGATGATCCTACTATGGGAATACTCGGGCCATAACTCCAGCTCGCAGGTGCGGTCCAGTCCTGGAAAGAAGTTGAGTTGAAGTCGGGCACATAGCCAGTGCGTGTAATGGCGTCTGCAATGGCATCCAAGGAGACCGGCTCTTCGTCTGGCGGAGAGTGTCTCCAGCGATCTAAGGGGTTCATGTGACCCCATTCTTGACTCTGAGTGCTTGAAGTATTGTCCCCGAAGGACCATATTGCCAGCGATGACTCGTCGTTGGGCATCGGCGAGTCCTGGGAAGATTTGAGCCCACCGCGACGACGGGCATTGACAAACCAATAAGATATCTGCCTGAGGTTTAATCCCGTACGCTCTTTCAATTCCTCTTTCTCTCGGTCCGAGGGATACGGATGAGCCGAATGAGCGGCAAGCCATTCTTTCAAAACCTTGGTCGAACTTCGCGAGTGTCTGCCGCTATTCTTGCCGTGTTTTCCTGCGTCTGTCTTCGCGCCGGGAACTTTGATCGGGACACTTTGAGCATCCATTTCCTGCGTCTGATACAATGCTCGTTGGGTCAATAGATCGTAAAAGTAACTACCCAACCACGTTTAAACGTCGTTGTTGCTGGAACAATCTGCCTCCTCCGATGAAGCATTCTAGGGGGTAGTCATTAGGGAGAAATAGGTTTGTGCCGCCCTGTTCATGCGGGGTTTTACGCCTAGGGAACCCCAATTCCCAGTGACGTAACACGCTATTACATCCGACCATACTCCAATGCTGGGTCTTTCTAGCAACAATAATAACAATAATATTATTCTACGCTATACCGTCCCTATTAAGGGCAAATGGTGCCCTTTATACTATTTATACTAAGTAATTCAAGATTTATAATATTATATTAAGCGAGCCGCACACCTTCTTATTATACTTTAAACTTATTTACTTTTATAACTTTTTTAAAAAAACAATTCTAAACTAATTATATAAAGTTAGTATACTAATTTTTAATATTAAAATCTAAGAAATTTTTTATACTTTTAAAAATAAATAGAATATATTTTAATACTTTATTACTTAAATAACTCTAAATCTTAAATTCTAAATATTAATTTAGAAAATATTCTTAAGTAGAATAACTTCTAAAAGTTAATTTTATAACGCTTGGGTCGACGATATTTATAGAAACTCTACATTGGTGGGTAAAAAGTTTCTGTTAGGCCATTCGAGCTCGTGATTTTCTGAATTATTCCTTCTAGTAGGACCTGGCGTAATTAATAAGATTACCTATTTTGCCCTTCATGCTGTATAACCAATCTCGCTGGGCGGCTTGGAACTATTCTAAGTTGTATAAAAAATGCCACTATGAAATAATCTACTGAATCATTAATTGCGAGCTGGAAAACCCCTAATTTACTCTCGACTCTATATAGAAGCCACATCCTACTTAATATCATATTTGATCATTTTCACCCTGTGATCCCCTTTACAGACCTCCATTCGACACCAAGGGCGCCGACCAAAGTCAAACAAGATAAAGCAACCGAAAGATAGAATGCGTAATTCAAGGCATTGCTGTAAGCCGAGACCACCACTGTGTGTTCCCAAGTACTCAACCCTACAGGAATAATCAGACCGTGACTAGTCAAGTCGTGCACGTCTAGTATTGTCGCAAAGCGAGCGAGATAAGAATGCAGTTTCGATGTGAAGATGGTCTGCGCCCCGGCAACGGCTATAGCTGGACCAATGGCCTGGGCAAGCTGAATGATAGCGAGTGCGATTTGTGAATCCGAGTCAGAAAAAGTTACTTGGACGGCAACTTGAGGACCTTGAAAGCCAATACCGGTCCCGAATCCTAGCAAAGTTTGATAGAACATGTAAGTCCAAGTCTTTGATCCAGCATTCAGAGTAGTCAACAGCACAGTTGCAGGAGGCGTCATGATACTGTTCAAAAGCATGAAAGGGCTATAATATCCGATCAACGTAGTCAGATATCCAGCGAGAGGAACCGAGACTATCAGGCCAGCCGCAGTTGGAAGAACCATTACACCCGACATGGACGCCGAGAGCTCTTTTATAGTCTGGAAGTATGTGGGCATCTAGGAACAAGTTAGCTCAGTCGTGGGCGCGTCTCGCTGGATTCTCATACATAGAATTCGATGACACTCAATGAGCCGTTGTTACAAGAACTGAATAAAAAGCCAAACAGAACATTCCGAGTTTGCAAGATGCGTAACGGAACAGTTGCCTCTTCGCCTAGACGGCTTTGATGCCAAACGAAGACGGCGAATAAGGCAGCGAAAATGCACAACGGCAGTATGACTCGCCAATCCGACCAAGCATACTTGTTGCCTCCCCATTGTAGGGCTAAGAGTAGCAATGTGAGAGCCGGCACGAATATGGCTGTTCCCAGCCCGTCTAGCTTGCGCAAGACCGACCACGGTGTCTCATCTCCCATAGGCTTCCCAGCGTTCAAATCAAGGGAGAAAAGAACAATACACAATACCACGACGATTATGGGTAGCTGGATAAAAAAACACCATCGCCAGTTCAATCGGTCAGTTAAGAGACCACCAAAGAGAGGAGCCGTGAGAGACGCCACAGCCTCCGTCGCGGCGCCGATTCCGGCGTACTTTGATCGCTTTCGCAACGGCGAGATATGAATAACCATTCTAATGCTCAAGTCAGCAAATATATTCATAGCTGGAGAGAGACATGGGTGGAACGCACGCGAATGCCCCCGAAATGATGGCAGCGGTAGCGAAGCCGGTAATGGCTCGGCCCAAGATAAACACAGACGACATAGGTGCAAGAGCGCAGAGTAAGGTGCCCACAGCAAACGTAACCAGGCTGGAGAGGATGAGAAATTTTGCTGGAAGCATGGTGTAGAGCTTTCCAAACATGAGTTGGAATGAGCCTGACATTAGCCGACTATTGACGTGTAAGTCAGCAACAGCACATGGAGAAGTTTGGCTTCAAGATTTCCTACTAGATAGAATTATACCATGCAATATCATTGACAGTTCCAAAGTAGCGAGTCATGGCCGGGATGGCAGTTGCGATGATGTTGCTATCCTAGATGAATCCGCGTCAGGGCGACCTGTAAGAAAATTTGCGTCTACGTTCAACTTACCAGGCCTACAAGTGTAAAACATAGGCATACGGCGACCATAATGGCTGCAAACCTGAGACCCGACGGATAAACCTTTTGCTGAATTTCTATTTCCTCCAGGTCTAGCGTAGCAACAGCGTCTAGAGAAGCGGGAGGCTGCGACTCCATCTCGTGTACTGCCAAGGACTAGCCTTTGATCGAGAGATCTATTGCAGCTGATAGTATTGTCGGATAGTGCTGACTAGCGAATCTTGTGATATCAAATGTTTCAATCGCCTGGAGTTTTCCTGATCGAAAGCATCATATATTTAGCTACAATGGTAAGCCAGTGGCGCAGGTATTGATAGACCGACAGTGGGTTGGCCACGTCACTAGGTATGAAGTGTCATTTAGCGCCCTGTCAACCTGAAAGCTTTTGTCTAGTAGGGCGTTGAATGGCATGTTGGTCCCACACTTTACAATGATAAGTACATACATTGAAGACTGAGAACTTAAAAACTCGATTTCTCCCGCCTAATACCACCTGCTGTCCTTACTTATCCGCTTTCATCATTGATCGCATGCCTCGAGTCATCGTTTGACCGTTTTCAGATACTTCTTGTCTTGGGGTTTGAGTCTCTGGGGTCCTACCCATCATGTCTGCCAAAATCACGACCCCTTTTGGCCAAGCAGTCCCACCAGCACCTCGTCATGCAGTCACTGTGCACATGGGGCCGGAATGGGAGAATGCTGTGCAGTTCGGAGCTGATTCAGCGTCGGTCATTGCCAAGTTCAAGAATACCTACCCTCGCACAAGACCACACCGAGATATTGCCCAAGTAAGACCAACAGAACAACATCGCTAACCTTCGGAAAACTTGGCTAACAGTCCATGATCCGTCCAGCTTTCGGCAGCCGTACTCGATATTATACAGTCTACGGACAGCGCCTGTCTCCTCTTTCCCTCCGTACAATCCGCGAGGCAATGTGTCGAATATGCCACATCGAACAAACGCGACGATGGAATCGACAAGAAGCCGCTTGGACCCGAAGAGCTCGCGATCCGTGCCTTTGTCGCCAAAGATCCCTTCATAGCTGTCATTTTCCCGTCAGGAAAGTACCGTACTGTTGCTGGGTTCTGGAGCACTGTTGGCGTCGGCATTACCTCTCGGTTTGCCGAGGCCAATCTGTCTCATCTGGATAGGCTTAGAGAGATCTCCTTGGAAGAAGCCGAAACTGGAAGGGCCATCTTTGTCAGTACAGCTCACGAGGCTCTGCGACAAAGAATCTTATCCCTCCTCAAACGAGCGCCGTTACACCCCGACCTACCTCTGCCTGTTACCGCCAACGACATTTACCTATACCAGTCAGGCATGGCCTCCATCTACAAACCACACTCGTACATGCTCGATTATTACAAAGGTGCATCTGTTCTCTTTGGCATGGCTTTCATGGATACACTTGTCACACTTGAGCAGTTTGGCTCTGAAAGCAAGTTCTTTGGCTCGGCTTCGGACGAGGATGTCGTCCAACTAGAGGCGTACCTTCGAGATAGTCGGGACAAGGGCCGGAAGGTGCAGGCCATTTGGGTGGAGTTCCCAGCCAACCCATTGCTCCAATGTCCGGATATCGCCGAACTTCGCAGACTAGCGACAGAGTACGATGTCGTCCTCGGGATTGATGACACTATTGGAAGTTGGGCCAATATTGACATGACCGCAATGGCCGATATCCTTGTGACTTCTATCACTAAGTCCTTTAATGGGTACGCCGACGCAATTGGAGGAACGGCTATTCTCAACCCAGGATCCCCAAAATATAAGGAGCTCAAACCGCTTTTCGACGCTCATTATGTGCCAGAGGTTCACACCGACGATGCAGAGACTATTGAGAAAAACAGTCTTGATTATCTTCAGCGCTCGGCAAAATTGAATACTAATGCTAGTGCTGTGGTAAATTATCTACATTCTAGAGCCCAAGACCCGAACAGTGCCGTCAGTCGGGTTTACTACCCTTCCGTCAACCCTCCCGCAGACAACTACAGACGCTTCATGCGCCCTGAAACGCCCGATTTCACTCCTGGATACGGTTGTGTCTTCAGTGTTGAGCTTAGCGACTTGAATACGGCAAAGGTCTTCTACGATAACCTCAACGTACACAAGAGTGTACATCTCGGCGCTCCCTTTACCTTGGCATTTGCCTATACGTTATGTGCTTACCAGAAGAGAGTAGACTGGGCTGCTCAATTCGGGCTGAAGCCAACGCAGATTAGGATATCAGTGGGACTGGAGGATACAGACACACTGGTTGAGGATTTTCGAGTAGCAATTGAGGCAGCTGATGAAGCGAAAAATACCGCTTCATAGTAAAGATACGGGTCATCTTTGCTCTCTGGGTCTAACTGGCAATCATCGGGCGGCATTCTGGTTCATATTAAGTCGCTGTGCGGTCCGATGATATTGAATGTTATCATTGTGCCTAATCATCTTGATTCCCGACGGTGTTAGGTAGTAAGTGCATTTGAGCGCTTCGGTGGACTACTAGTCAACAACCTTACATTAGTCCTGTCTTCGCTGAAGAGACGGGCTACTCGTTCTATGATAGAGTGTCCATTATGATTAACTAAAAGACTATGAGTTGGTCTTGTGCGATGAGAGTTTAATTCTGGAGCTAGATGATGGTCCTACAGCATGCTGCATGCTGTTCTTGGGTTATGAAATAAATTATTGTTACGAGATAAGCTATCCATCACTGTACTCCGGAAGACCTCGTGTGTCCCACGATTGTGTATGGTGCGGCCCATTTGTACAGGAGGTGTTATTGCCATCGTCATACATCCCAACGTTACCCCGTGGGACTTGAATGTATTGAACACATCTCTATAGGCAATCCTCAGAGAAACGTCTGCTTTAAAACTGACGCTTATAATCTTGAGTTTAAGCTTGAAGCGATAGGTTCTTGAGATCAAGCAACTCTGAAAGGTAGGCAAAAGCTCTCTTCGCTTCAATAATACCTCAAAAGGGACGTGTAGTGTTATATAGTAAGTTTTCTGCGGCGTGTACGGGTTATACTCAATTTTCTTATGCCTACTGTGACTATTAGGACTACTGCCTCTAAGGCAAGGTTTATAATCCTAATAAAGAGGTAGCACACTCGATTTAATCGCTACTATACTAGGAGCGTTAATATCCTATAGCGGTTTAGAGATTAGAAGTCTTGTTCTTGGCCTAGAATAACTCTATATTTACGATTCTAGCTTAGTAGAAAGTTTAGTAATCTTAGGTAATATTATAAAGTTCTTATATACTCTTAGTATATACGATTCTTAGGATTTTAATTAGTTCTAATCGAAGCGCAGGTTTTTATTAGTTATATATTAAGGCTATACGGACCTTTTTTATTTAGAAAAAAATATAATATTAAAAAACTAGTTGTTATATAAAAAAACTAATTAACGCTCTTTATAAATTCGAATTAAATAATTTCTATTTTCTAAAATCGGTATATTATACTTTAACTACTTTTTTATTATAAAAACCGCTTTTTATAATTTCGATATTATTTTTTTAAAAAAAGTTTAGTATATTTTTTATTACTCTTTTTTAATATTAATTAAGTACCAAAGGGTTAGGCTTAAAAAGAAATTTTAGAATTTATAAATCTCAAATACCTACTACCTTAGCCAGCTTTTTACTCACTATTAACAAATCAAAAAACAATTTAAAATTTACAAACCCTAAATAACTACTACCTCTACTAACCTTTTACTCACTAATAGCAAATAAAAAAATTTAAATATCAAATACTCAAGCCAGCCTTTCACTCGCTATTAGTAAATAAAAAAATTTAAATATCAAATACTTAAGCCAGCCTTTTACTCACCATTAATAAATAAAAAAATTTAAATATTAAATACTTAAGCCAGCCTTTTACTCACTAATAGTAAATAAAAAAATTTAAATATTAAATACTCGAGCTAACTTTTTACTCACTAATAGTAAATAAAAGAATTTAAATATTAAATACTTAAACTAGCCTTTCACTTACTATTAGCAAATAAAAGAATTTAAATATTAAATACTCGAGCTAACCTTTTACTTACTAATAGTAAATAAAAAAATTTAAATATTAAATACTCGAGCTAACCTTTTACTCGCTATTAGTAAATAAAAAAATTTAAATATTAAATACTCGAGCTAGCTTTTTACTCGCTAATAGTAAATAAAAAAACTTAAATATTAAATACTCGAGCTAACCTTTCACTCGCTAATAGCAAATAAAAAAATTTAAATATTAAATACTTAAGCTAACCTTTTACTCGCTATTAGTAAATAAAAAAATTTAAATATTAAATACTCGAGCTAGCTTTTTACTTACTATTAATAAATAAAAAAATTTAAATATTAAATACTCGAGCTAACTTTTTACTTACTAATAGTAAGTAAAAGAATTTAAATATTAAATACTCGAGCTAGCTTTTTACTCGCTAATAGTAAATAAAAGAATTTAAATATTAAATACTTAAACTAGCCTTTTACTTACTATTAGTAAATAAAAAAATTTAAATATTAAATACTTAAACTAACCTTTTATTTATTAATAATAAATAAAAAAATTTAAATATTAAATACTTAGTTAATTTTAATTATATTTCTTATTTTAATCCCCTTAATAAATAAAAGTAATAGTAAATTTATTATTTTTTATTTCGACTTTCCTTTTTAAATTTATTATAAAGCCTTCGTTAGTTTAGGATTCTTTTTTATTAAAATCCTATTTATTATACTCGCTTTTATTATATTATATAGGTCCTATATAAATAGTACTCTTTTTATTAATAAACTATAAATTAACTCTATTTTCTTTTTTTTTAATAAATTAAGACCTTCTCGTTCTTTCTTAGCCTTTAGTTATTTATATTATAAGTTAATATTCTTTAATAAAAATATTAAAATACTTAATCCTAATATATTTATTAAAATCCCTAGTATAATAAACTAATAAATCGTATTTAAAAATCCTCGCTCTTTTTCTAAGCCTAGCTCTTTTATAAAATAGCTCGCTAAGTAGCTATTAATACCCTTTCTTTAATTAATTATAAAACTATTTTTTTATAAAAAGCCTTATAATTATAATACCTCGGGCCCGTTTTATAAATAAAAATCCTTTAAATTAACCTATAATTTTTAAAACTTATATTATTATATATATATTTAAATTTATATAAAAACTATTCTTATTTTAATAAATATATTTATAATACTCCCCTACTACTTAACTAAAAAAGCTAATTTTAAATACTTTAATTTAATAAGTATATTTATAAATCCTTTAACTTTTAGGACTACGTTATTTATTAAAAAAAAAGACTATTTTATACTTAGTTAATAAATAATATAAATAATCTTTAAAAGTTTTTCTAAATATCTAATAAAAAAAAAGTTCGCTAATATAATAATAATTATCCTCTTATAATTTAAAGTTCCTCTTTCCTAGCTCCCTCTTTATATTTTAAAATACTATTTAGGACTTTAATATTTTTTTTAATATATCCTTTTTTTTAATCTTTTTTTTTAATATTTTAAATATTTTAAATACTCGTATAATTATCTTAGCTATATTAAGTATATTAAGTAATATAGCTACTTATTTATAAATATCTCTTCTTTTTTTTTTTTATAAAATAATTATAAATATTTTTTATACCTCCTTTCTAATCTTATTATTCTTAGTTATTTTATTAATAAATATATTTTCTCTTTTTTATTTTATAATAACTACGGGTTTAGGAAATTTCGTACTTTTACTATCGTTAGAGCTATTATCTAGTTACGTTTTTAAAGTTTTCTTTTTATACCGTTCGATTATTTTTTTAACTTAGTTTTCTATTCTTAAATATTAAGCTCGCTTTTATATTAAAAGTTAAAAATACTTATAAATAACGCCTTAATTATAGCCTAAATTATTTAAAACTACTACTAGCTTCGTAATATAAAATACGTACTTATTCGTTTTATTATATTAGTCTAGATCCTCTCTAAACTTAGAAATTAGTTTCTAAAACCGGTTACTATTTTATAATAGTTTTAAAAATATTGATTTTAATTATAAACGTATTAATAAGCTAGACGATATTACGCTTAAATCTCTATTATTTTATAGTATTAAATATCTCTATTTTATAGAGTTATTTAGCAATTTCCTAAAAATAATTTTATTTAAATATACTATTTTTTACTTTAAAAGCCTTATTATAAAGCTAAAAATATATAAAAACGTAAATAAAAAAATAAAAAAAAAAAGAGTAAAATAGAGGGTAAAAGAGAGGAGGGGGAGTACTAAACTCCCTATTTATTATTAACTTATTCGCAATATTTTTATTTTATTACTTATATTCCTTATTAATTTCGATATTACTATAATACTAACCCTTATAAAAATATTATTAAGCTTATTTTTTATATTATTTTAAAATAAAAACCGCTATATAGCCTATTTAAAATTTATAAAAATCTAATTATAATAATATTTGCTTTTATAAATCTTAAACGGGTACTTCTCCCTTGCTTAAATATACTTTCCTTATACTTACTTTTTTTAATAATAATAAAATAATATAAGCCTATAAGGGGGTCCTAGGTAATTTTAAATATATATACGTACTTAGCTTAGATATTTAAAAATACGGGTTTATAATTAAGTATAAATAAAAAGTATTTAACTTAGAATAGTTAAAATATACTAAGAATAGCCCTTATATTCTAAATAAAAATATATTAATTTCTTATATAACTAGTCTTAATAAGTAAAATAATACGTTATTATTAATAGTTAAGGTATTTAATAAAATAGTTATTAACTAACTTAGAAATAATAACCTATACCTATACGATCCTAGCTACTTATAAAGGCTAAATTATCTATTCTAAGTTTTAAAATTAGTTTTAAAACTTAAAATAAGATTATAAGAGAAGTAAGTACGCTAATATACTATAACTTAATAATTTTAATAAGCCTTATTAAAAATATTTTAAAAAAAAGAGCTTATATTATAAAAAATCGGAGAATTATAAAAGCCTAATAATACTTTAATTAAAATAAGTAAATTTAGGTTATAAATAGTCCTTTATATTTTTTATTCCTTATATTTTTATTAATCCCTAGTTAATAACTACTTTAATCCCGTTACTAAGATTACCTAACTTCCCTCTTAGTTAAGCTATATATATAATATATAGCGTATTTTTATTATATCTAGCCCCGTAAATAATATAAACTAGGGCCTAGTCTAAAGCCGGGCTACTACTTTATAAAAAAGCCTCTTCCTAAGCTTTATTATAATTAACGTTATTTTTATATTTTTTTA